TTCGACGAATTTGCTAAAAATGTACTTTCTTCTAAGGTTTTCCTTTTTATTTTAATGACGTGTATAGTTTCTAATCTGATCAACTTATATGTGTTGAAAATTCATTTGATAAGGTGCATACAAAGTTGACTATTATGGCAGAAACTAAACTGTCTGAGGCACAAAATGTGATGGAGAATGCTAACATGTGTGTTAGTTATTATTTTTAATACGCTAAAACTTATTTCTCATAAATTATTTTGGCTCGTTCCATATTGTGTGTTATTCTTTTGCTTAATTTTCTAATATTTAATTGTATAATTTTTCATCTTTAGTACTTTTTTATTCATTTTTTCACATGGTTATGTTGGGGAATTGGATTTTATTGAGATCGCCGTTTCTCATTTATTTCAATGTTGTTTGGTATTTTTCAGCATTTGAAATATTCACCTTGTTAGATGGAGCACTAGCGAATCAATAATATGCTCCCAAGATTTTTGAATAATCCAATAAATCTTAAACTATTTTTTTTTTTTTTAATATCCACAAGTTCTACACTAATAAAAACACAATAAATACAAAATTCGTGCAACGCACATGTCAACGATTAGTGTTGTTATAATAATCGGCCTTGATTCTTATGCCACTTGTCACGTGAAGAATTTTTTTTTTTTTTCTGGTGTGGATCATGGGCTGGTAGTGGTGGTGCAATGATTACATAGGTTGTAAGTTAGCCCATTCATCCTCATTCCCATTTGTGCGGGTTTGGTCGGTCAGACAAATCCTACAACGATTGTAAGGACATCCCATCCACTACTACTGATAAGCAGTTGAAAGAGTGGCACAAGTATTACAAAGTTCCTACCTCAATGACCTTCGAAAGGATGTGTCGCCCTAAACAACGATGCAGTATAGACATTGGGGCTAAGGTTGCCCTTCCCACCAATTATCATAAATATAACTTGGGGAGTAGCTTCGACACATATTTGCCCCAATAAATGGAGAATGATTCTCGAGCTAATAATTAACCCCCTATTTGAGCCACATTAAAATTTTCATTTTCATTCTTTTACTTATTTTCAACCACACATTCTTAATAAAATAATATTTACATCACATCAATAACTTACACACCCTAAGTGACATAAGTTGGGCTTTCGTCAGCCTTCCTTCAAGGAGTTCAACTTTCTTTCTCTCTTCAAAGAAAATGGGAGAGATTTGGTTTGGTTACTAGTGTGAAGCTGAACTAGCGGTTCCATTAGGGATAAACCCTTGTCGGTAAAGAACTGTAAGAATAACTAATCATTTGTTCATGGGAGTGACAATTTGGCATGGGCGATACTAAGGTCGACCTGTTAATTCCATTTCAATATCACAAGCTCAGTAGGTGCCCTCCATACTTGTGATTTTATTCCTCCTTGAGTATTGACTTCTTATATTCTTCTTTTTATCGTAGCCTACTTGCCATTGTGACGTACCCATATGCTAAGGAAAGGGCTAAAAAGGCAAGGCAAAAGACGAACGAGGTTAAGTCGTGCAACGATTCGATTACACATGAAAGTTAATTTGCAAAAGAATGTCAAGAATTGATTTTGATGGACAAAATCATTAAATCTTAAGAATGCTAGATTGGATCGAAAATTAGAAAGAAAAAACTCTCAATTTTATCAAGCCCCTGTTTGAATCAATACAAAAGGAAATTTTAATTTTCATTCTTCTACTCATTTTCAACCACACATTTTTCAATAAAATAATATTTTTCATCACATCAATAACTTTTCCTTCTTTTTCAATCATACATTCTCCATCAATATACTATTTCAAAATACATTTTTCCAAAATAATGTGGTTCAAACACATCCTAAGTGACATAAGTTGGGCTTTCGTCAGCCTTCCTTCAAGGAGTTCAACTTTCTTTATCTCTTCAAAGAAAATGGGAGAGATTTGGTTTGGTTACTAGTGTGAAGCGGAACTAGCGGTTCCATTAGGGATAAACCCTTGTCGGTAAAGAACTGTAAGAATAACTAATCATTTGTTCAGGGGAGTGACAATTTGGCCTGGGCGATACTAAGGTCGACCTAGTAATTCCATTTCAATATCACAAGCTCAGTAGGTGCCCTCCATACTTGTGATTTTATTCCTCCTTGAGTATTGACTTCTTATATTCTTCTTTTTATCGTAGCCTACTTGCCATTGTGACGTACCCGTATGCTAAGGAAAGGGCTAACAAGGCAAAAGGTGAATGAGGTTAAATCGTGCAACGATTCGATTACACATGAAAGTTAATTTGCAAAAGAATGTCAAGAATTGATTTTGATGGACAAAATCATTAAATCTTAAGAATGCTAGATTGGATCGAAAATTAGAAAGAAAAAACTCTCAATTTAATAAGGACATGTTTGAGCCTTGGAATCGTAGATTGATAGATAATGTTTGATTAAAAATAAATAAATAAAATTTAAGCTGCGTGTAATATTATAAAAGAATGAGTGATTGAAAAAAAAAAAAAAAGGGTGTCAGGAACCGCCATCCCTCTATTAGACAAACCCACCAGCCTAGGATTCTTTCTTTTATTCTTTTGAAAAGCACCTGCCTTGGATTCATTGACGTTAAAATTCCCATCCACTACCAGCCATTTGAAATCCCACATCGAGTTTTTAGGAAACCTGATAGAGAGCTGCGCATTATAAAAATATTGGGCCATGACTGGATTAATCATACCTTTCTCGGCCTTTTGGCTAAGATCAAGTGTAGTATCTGTTCTTATCAGTTTAATATCTGATATGTGGGTCATTGGCCCACACGATATTAAATTAATTTTTTAAGGGGGAAAGTCCATAAAGGTAGCTTGCTGCCTGGGCTTTCACGCGTCGCCCATGCGTTGCACTACTGCTTGGGCCAGGCGCACCCCACCAATGCTAGTTAAATTTTTGGCTCTCGATACAAATTGCTTCTTATTTTTGTGTGCCATTTCTATTTTATTTATTCCTGACGTAATTTTCTAATGTTGGTATTGACATTGGCTACAAAAATTGTGACTCGATTGATTGAAAGTTGAGTTTGACACATTGTACTGATCGATCTTAATTTTTGGAACAGAAGGAATGGTATAGTTCTGATTATAGCTGTCTAATTGAATAAATTCAATGTTAATCTAAAGCCAAAATAGCGAAGTAAAGAATCAAAATAGACCAACAAAAAATGAAAACTAATAATCATCCACTATAAGTGTTCAGCATCCTGGATTCTCTATGCTGAATACACTACAAAATTGGTTCAATCACATCAAAGATCAAACACGCTCATCTTTACTTCATGTTTTTTGCAAGAAGAATGATCTAATGAGGTTTAGGCTTATATCCATCGACAGCAAAGTTTCGTGTTGCGGCAGGAAGTGCCAAACGAATTCCATCGATTTCAGGTTTTGCTATTATTTGACAACCCAAACGAGACCTGCACAGTATCGTTGAATATATTTAAATAACTGAAGAGGCTAGAAAATCATGGAATGGTTTATTCCCGTAAAAAAAACAAAGGACCTACGTCTCGCTCAGTCCAAAAGCAAGATCTAACATATCATTCTCCTCGTCAGTTGGATCTTCTAGTTTGTTATAGTCGTCTACATCCTGTCAAAAAGCATCAAAAGTCATTTATTAATGTCCATAATTCAGTAGTCGTCCATTTTCTCAACAGATACAAATCTCTCTTTAATGGGAGTGGGTGTGCGGGAAATGAAATAATTCTTAAACTAGATGTTCTCAATTGCAACTACATACCATCACAATAACATGACAGGTAGAACAAGCAAGCGATCCTTCACATGCTCCTGCAATAAAATTCAAATAACTTAGCCAGCCCAATAAATAATATTCAGGAAAAATCTGAGCGGAAACTTTATGAAATTGCATCAAAAGATATAACCATCAGGCTCAAATAACATGTCACTACTAACTCGAGAATGTTTGATCGAACTACTAGTCCATTAAAATATGGGTGAAATTTGTTCCAAAACTTCATCTGAAAAGAAGAGAAATTTAGCAGGAAGTGCAAAACTCAGATACCACCAGCACGTTTAGTTAAGCTTAACATTCATTATTATAAGAAAAAGATTTTAAAGAGTCACTTATTTGTAAGAGTTATCTAAGTAACTTCTTGTTTTTATTTTTAAGTAAGATAAAAATCAATATTTCCAAACAAGTTGTAAATTGAAAGTGAATCGAAAAGTAACTTTTACATATTTTTTTTTTAAGCTTAGTAATATTTACCTTCAAGCTCTACATCATTCTCGTGTGCAGCTTCTAACATCGACATGCCAAAAGGGACCTTGATATGCTTCTCTTCTCCATCCTTGTCTACAAATGTTACTGATATTCTGCAGTCCAACAGGAAAGCATTTAAAAAGAACAGTTAGAAAATCTGGTCTTCATCCATGCTGTTGCTTCATCCATTCCCCAGGATTCAAGAATGTACCAAAGAACCTAACTACATTGAACTGCAAGGGGTTTCAACCAATACTGATGGATTATCTATAAGCAGTTATAGTTGCTGGTTCACCAATTTGAACTGGCAAAATGGAGACCAACACACACACACAAAAGTGTGCAACTCAAGCTATTTTTTTAAAAAAGAAGAGATCTTAAACATCAAAAATCACCCCACGCTAGGACTTGCTTCGTTATAAACTTACTTATACAATATGCATCTAAGTTCTAAAGGGAAGCCACCATCTAAAATTTAAAGCAAACAAAAAGAATTTATTTTCTCAACCACTTAAGAATCTGATGCATCAGCAATGGAGCTAGACCCCCAAAGTTTTACCAACTAAAACTTTGTGTTCCATTGAACTTTGTTCTTTCCATCCCAAGTTTTCTCCCTCTACCAGTATTCTGTTATTCCCTCCAAATCAGGGCATAGCAGATTTAATTAGATTAAAAAGGCTTAGCAGGTATGATGCACAATATTGGGGCTACTTCAGAAGTATTTTTTGAAAAGTAGGACTTAATTGTCCAGAACACCTTTTCATAGGACTTTACCATCGGTATGTGAGCTAAAACACTGAGCTTTTTTCAATAAGCTAACAATACTACGCATGATCAGCTAGATAGACTAGGTTATTTCCCTTAGTGCTACTACTCCATCTAGGTTTTACCCAGTTCAGATTGTTTCAACTTTTCTTTCACCATGGCTATGCCGATAAAGTTCCCCAAGCACATACCCCTATGAACTGTTTCCAGAACTTGACTATCCCATGAAAAAAAAGAAAAACCGAAAAAATAAAGTCGTATATAGAAGACACGCTTAGAGTGCTTACTTTTGCTTTTCTTCACTGCCTTCATCTACATTCTTCTCAGCTGCAGTGCAATATGGTTCTTGCCTCTGAACACAGGAGGAGAGATGAAGGTTATCCACAAGCTTGTTATTAATTCCACCAAGGGGGACAGGGAGTAATAATAAAACAAATAATTAATATAAAACGACATAATAATTACTTCTATGTTCTTTACCACCTTCATTGTTATCATTTTTAGTTTTTAAATAGTGCAGGAAGCGTAGCTTACTTTTTTTTTGTTCATTCAACGTGCCAGCTTGTCAAATATAATGGGCATTAATGCTTTCACTGCAGGCAATTTGATAAATATAATCCTCAGCACACTCACCTTACATTCCCATTCTTGTTATATTGATGCATTACGACTTATCTTTGAACTTCCAACATATCTAACTTAACCACATGGAAGAATATACTAGATCAGATTTGACAGTTAAAAGCATATCTTGTCTGTCATGTTATCTTGGCAATATGAATGCTGTAACTAACTGGCATAATATTGGAGTTCTAAAGACCAATATGATTTCTGCAACTAACCAGGGTTCGCAAATAATGATTATGAACCACAGGCGGGTACAATGTCCTTGGCGTAAAAGATGGAGCTGCAATGCAACAGAAGGCAATAAGCACGTGTGATGGAATAAAGTCTCCTCAAATAAAAAAGTTCAGCTTCAAGCATGCCATGAACATGTTTGCTTTTCTGAAAATAGGTCGTCAGAAAATCATTTTCACATTTTGCCATCGTTAGGAATGTTACGAGAAATATATTCTGACCGGATACCAGGAAAGCATATTTCTCCTTTCCTTTCCTCCCCTCTTTTCTCATTGCCAGTGTCTCAATTATCTAGTTCATTAAGAGAAACCCCACACATTTTAAACACCTTCCCCACACATGAAGTCCAGCAAGGTGACAAGTTACATGATCAGTGCCGTCAGGTGTCAGATAGATTTTCCTTCACATCTCTGAGTTTGATCAATATAGGAGGATGATTTGAGACTGCTCCATTTATTTATGCATCTTTCAGTGACATGTGAGGAGTGGAATAGTAGAGTTCTCGTGGAAAGAAGATGCAGAACAGAAACTAAATACAGAATTTTCTAACACCTTTTGTTATCAAGAACTGGTAGGGGGTAGCCAACATTTCCCAGAGAGTTTTTGGTTCTGTTGAATGCGTGCATTATAGAATTCTTTGAACATGTGATTGCAGCCCCTAGTTCCCATTCAGTTTATTATAGTTACCAAATGAAAAATAAGTAACCATTCGCCTTTTCTAAAGACTTCCCAGTATTATTCATATCAGAAAAATTCAGAATCTTACAGCTAAGATGAGGCATATATAATTTATCAGTATGTCCCCTGCTTGATTTTCCAAATGGTGAAAATAAGCTAAGAGAAGAGCTAAAATGAATTATCAACAGTACTACTTTGTATGTGCCACTTTAGTTTGGACTGAACTCCCTGATACTTTAGTTTCTTTGTACAATTTACTGGAATAACATAGACTTAAAGTAGGAGAAATTTTTAATTCTCAATTAGTAAACAAAAAATCATACCAAAAATGTAAAGAGCACACCTTTTACCATGTTCTTGATTGCATGAGCTCCTAGCCGAGAAAATTTAGAAATGAACATAATCCTCCCCAACCCTGCAGCCTCAACATGCCAAAAAAGGGGGAGGGGGACACTGATGAGAACGGCAGAGGAAGTCAAGTTTAGTCATGCACAAAGTGTTCAAACTCTACTCCGCAATATTTCATCCCGTGCTTAACCCCGTGTAACACGCGCAATATTGACAGACAAATCCCATTCAATTTTAAATATGACAATGATATATCTAATCTTTACAAGCTCGTACGAGCTAAAAGTGATGCCAAGTATCGAAGACTTTGGCCTCGAAGGGTTTGAAACCCACACCGTTGCAGAGAATAATATCGCGAGCTAACAGTAAACTAAATTTATTCGAAAATGCTGGATTCTTGAACTAAATAAATGAACCTAAATTAAACAACAAAAAGGTTCTCTAACAGCTTAATTCATTTCATTCAATATCATATCTTTACTTGCAAATCAATTCTCGTTCAGTTCGATAAACAATAAACGGCCAGTAATTTGATTTTCTTAGCAAAAAATAAAATAATCAACCTTAAAACGTGCATTAAGCGAATTTTCCAGAAACCAGAAAGCATTAACAGAATTAAATCAAAACAAATAAATTACCCGAAGGCACCGGTACTACAGGAAAATCGACGACGCTCGATTGATCGACGTCGTCCTGTGTGCGTTGCGTCGCGTGTAGAAAATTGAGTGGTACGCAGAGAGAATAGAGAGAAAGATCGAGTGAATTCCTTGTAAAACTTGAAAACAGAAGTAGTAAACTGAATCCGACGTCGTTATTAGGCCCAAGTAAGGTGGGCCTCCTAAGATGGGTTCACAAATCCGGCCCGGGTAAAACAAGAGTTGGAATTGTTTGGATCCATATCGTAAGCCCGTTAACTTTTTGATAACTTGCCAGAGCCCGTCCAATTTTTGCCGTACAATTTACTGTCATCCATTAATTATAGACATATCATATTGAATTATCATATCCAACTTTTCTCTAATTACTCGTTATGCTTAAAAATATGTGATTTTAATATAAAATGATGTGTCAATAATTAATTAGTGGTCAGCTGATCTCAACTCAATATGCGGTCCTTTAAAGTTAAAATCTGATGCCCTACCGTGAAAGTTAGAAAAATATTAGGTCATCAATAGTTTTATCTTTTACAATATATCTGAAAAAGTGCATTAGATAATAGATTATGTAAAGATATTTTACGATAAATAATTATAAATTATAATTGATCAAGTCTAAAATAACTTGCAAGCTTTGAAACTATCAATGAAAATAGTGCAAATAAGTACATAGCACTCTTAAACAAGTTGCTTAAAGCTACACAGTGAATGAGATTAAATGCAATTACAAGCTTGTGCTCTTATATCCTACATTAACTTTTCAGAGTGTGTTTGGGACACATTCTTTTGAAAGAATATATTATTGAATAGTAGATTGATGGAGAATGTGTGGTTAAAAATGAAGGAAAAGTTATTGATGTGATGGAAAATATTATTTTATTGAAGAATGTGTGGTTGAAAATGTGTAGAAGAATGAGAATGAAAAAAATAATGTGTACCAAACAG